ACAGCATTTATTAAAACCAATACAAACCATTACTTTTATACATTTCATTATTTTGAGCATCAATCCTAGTTATTTAAAAGACAGAGGATATCTGTGAACTACTAAGAACAGATTGACTTCTTTCTCCCCCCAAATAAAGAGTTTTCTTTGTACAAATCCTATTTACTAACTTCTTATTGTGGAAAGAAATATCAGCTCTAGATTTTAAAAAAATTGTTTTAAAATTCCAAATAAAAGTGTTTCTAATCAAGAAGAATCCATTTTTATCCTGAACCATTACTATGTTTTCAAAAAGATTATGCTACCAGATGACATTGATAAAGCTCATGTTTTGAGTGTACTTTATTTATACTTTAGTAACTTAAACTTCACATTTTAAAAACACAAGTTCAATAAAAAGATTAATCTAGATATAAAATAAAAAAAACAGAGATTAATTTGGAGTATTTAAAAATTTTTTTTGTATTTTTTGGTTTTTTATAAGTTGAGTCTTATAAATACTCTTCTGTCTGCATAACTGTTTCAGAGAACACAGATTACTTCATATTGAAGTCGCTGTTGCCAAACCACAAGTGTTGTATAATGATTCAGTTATCATTATTCTTCTTGTGTCTGTACCTATAAAGGAAAGCTTTCAAATCTTAGAAAAGTTTAACCTACAAATCCCTTTATTTGTCCTATGATATGTGGATATTATACACCAGTCCAAAGTGGTAACTTCAAACTTAAAGAAAAAAAAAGAAGACTAAAACCAAAGATTTTAAAGATATGGACTTAAAAACACACAACACTTTGTTATTCTCATAAGAAGAAAAGATTTACATTTTAAAATAAATACCACTATGAAAAGAGCATCTCTCCTATTAACTCCTTCAAAAGAGTTATTGAGAATCTATAATCTTTTAATGCTACAGATAGGCAAAACAAAATATGCTAGTGCTTGCATATAAAATATGTCACAGATGTCACCATGATTAAAAACACAAAGAATATTATTTTAAAAAATAAGGCTTTGTGGTGAAAAAAAAAAAAAAGGCTTCCAGCTAAAGCAGCACTGGTATATTGAGGAATAAATCAATTAAAAGAAATAAAGCTGGGTAAATTACAACATAGGAAATATAGTTAATAATGTTGCAGTAACTATGTATGGTGCCAGGCAGGTACTGGAAATACTATGTCAGGGGAGGGGGGACACTTTGTAAAGTACATAATTACCTAACTACTATGCTGTACACCTGAAACCAATACAAAATAATATTAAATGTAAACTGCAACTAAAACTTTTTTAATTTAAAAAAAAAAAAGCTAAACACTGTTAAAAAGAAACAAGATCTTCAAATGTACTCATCTAAATTTTTATTCTTTAACAACATAATATCATAGCCGTGAGCTAACAAGAAATTTGGAATATCTAATAAAAAAATTTTTTTAACAAATTTTTAGATTTTATCAAATTTTATTCAATCTCACCCCCCAACAAATGTCCCATGTCTAACCCTTAAGTAAAATGTATATAAATGAAGTATCATATTCAGCACTAAATTACTTTTTAAAAGCAAGTTTCATAACTGCATGATTTACATTTATTCTGTTCTTATAAAACTCCAATGATTAGCCCGGCCAGTGTGGCTCAGTAGATTGAGCATCAGCCCATGGACTGAGAGGTTCCAGTTAGATTCCTGGTCTGGGCCCATGCCCGGGTTTAGGGCTCAATCCCCAGTAGGGGGACTGCAGGAGGCAGCCAATTGATGTTTCTCTCTCACTTTAATGTTTCTATGTCTCCCTCCTTTCTCTCTCTCTTAAAAAGGAAAATCAATAAAAACATATTTAAAAAAAATTTTTTTTTAAATTCCAGTGATCATTCACAAAACTATTTTAAAAGGCTATCTATAAATACAACCACTGCTTTTTGTAACCATAAAGAAAGATTAAATAAGATTATAATTAAATAAGATTATGTACTAGTCAATATTGTTTTATCCAGTTAAGAATTTTTTTTTAATAGAAGTAACATTTAAATTGAAAATACCAAAACTCCTTAACCTTGGATTCATGGTAAAAATTAAAATTTAACTAAAAACATTTAAATTTTTAAAATTTATAAACATTGTAATTTGACAGAGTAGATTAGTTGATAAAACATCAAAATCTTTAACATTAAGATAACTTAAATGCAAGTAAGATACAGATAAAAATAATTGAATGCTTAAAGAGATAAGAAGATTTCAGTTAAAGACAATAAATTTGACATGCCCACTTAGCAACTCTCACTCCAAAATCCCACTAAAAAATGGTAAAGCAATTTTAAGTCATAAATCCAATGGCATAAAGATAATGGAAGATAAGACAATAGCAACAAAAACCCAAGAGCTGTGAAACAGACATAATCTTGAGAAACTGTATCCTAAACAAAAAGTCAAAATGTTTGTTGAATTAATGAACATACAAAGGTTGTTGTGATAATAAGGTAAGTTATTTAAAGATTTTAAAAAGAAAAACCTGTACACTGAGGCATTGAGTTAAATGTTAAAAATTATATTTATAGAATTAAGTTTATAGAATCTCAGACTCAAACTGAAAGGTTCTCTTTGACCAAAGCTGATAACAGATTGGAGTAGCATTGGTCTGAGACAGGCAATTCCTGGCAATGTTAGTGAACTAACTTAACATTCACTAACCAAAGTTACTACGCAGAACTTTATGCAGAGCTTTACACCTAGAGTTTGATGGTGCAAGGGAAAAATTTCACAATGTACATATCAACATATTATTATGTGCTGCAATAAGTCAAAACATTAGCTTACAGTATAGGAACTGACAACTCATCGGATACACTTCACAAGAAGCTAAAAAATCACTCATTAAGCCAAATATTTAAAATATATTTACTATTCAAAATCATCCTAGAATAAACTGTTCTAAAGAACAGTGTGTTCTCCTTCCACCTAACCTTTCAAAAAATTTTTGAAGTTAGAAATGTTTCCTAAAATATATATATATGATCCTATCCTCCTAAAAAGAACATAAAAGAAAATGCAAGGGGACTGAGGGAGAGGCTTCAGCTGTATTCTATCCATCTGATCACTATGTCATTTTACTTTCTCATTATGAATGTAGTTTCTCCACCTAACCATGCTTCCCTCCATCCATCCATAATCTAAAAAGGCTATTAAAGACTAAATTATTTTTATTCTGGCAACTCGGAGGCCTTCCATGCATATTGCATGGTTTTCCATTATGTTACAAAAAGGTATGGTTGCTATTACAAATGGCATGAACATGCAGTTACACCATCAAGAGGCCAGGACTACTACATCAATCTCTTCAGCTTACTCTGCTACCAGTCTTTCTCTGTCTAAGCCTTTTCCCACAATTCTTCCAGTAGCATCTTCTGAATGTAAATCTGACCATGACACTCCTCTGCTTATAAACTCTTAGGGCTTCTGAAAGGGTAAAGTCCAAACTCCCTAGGAAAAACTCAAAGCCTTTTATAATCTGATCACAGGCGACCTCTGCAGTCATTTTTCACCTGCCATCATTTTTTCTGCCCCACAGGCTCAAGTATCCACCACTCTTTCAACAAGCACACATGCTCCTTCATACCCTGTTGTCTTTGACATGCTATTTTCTGTAATGCCCTAAATCTCTGTAATCTGTTTACCTTCAAAACGCAGTTCAAATGTCACCTCATCCAAGAAGTCCTCCCTCACACTCCAAAGAGGACAAAACCAATATACTTCCTGTGCTCTCATAGTACTTTGTTTTGATTCTGGAATAATGTTATATTATAAATTGACCTACCAACATATTTATTTTCTTTTTAACCACTATGAATTGTGATCAGCATTATTTCCAGAGCACTTAGTTATTTACTTAGTAGGTAGTACGCAATGAATAAATGTTTGTTAACTGAATAAATTCATGTATATAGTATTTTAAACTTTGACTTCTATTTATGACCTTGTAACACTGAGCTCCAGGTAAGCCTGTTAGAAATATTTTTCCCACCAACCCCACAATGAGGATTCCTTTTGATCTCTGGTGGGTAGCAACATGGAAAAAATAAGATTAGCTTTGCTAGCTGAAAAGCAGAGCATTCAGAAACTTTTAAATTTGCTCAGTGAAGGGCTAATGTAGAAGCAGAGTGCTACAGTAAATAAAGCATGATCTCTTGAGCCAGAAAATTGGGGTTCAAATTCAGGTCACTAACTGAGTGTCCTTGGGTAAATCTCTTAATCTCATGACAATTTCCCTATCCATAAAACAAGAATGATAATAACAAATATGTCACAGAATAAAGCAAGGCCACTAGTCAGTAAATCCCTTAACCTCTCTGGTGACAATTCCCCTACCTGTTAAAGAAGATTTAAAGAGGATGATAAACTCAGAGAGCTGTAAGACTTAAATAATGGCTGGCATGTGAAAGTACTGCTTAAACAAAAGCTATCATCAAATGTAAATAGTTTCCATAAGCTTTAGTGACTATGGTAAATGTGAAGATGCCAGCCAGGAGGAAGGTATGGGGAAGGATGCTAAGGGTAATACTAGTCAGGCTCCACACAAGCTTATGCTGGCTGCTGTGATTCTAAGCCCAAATTCTCCTGAAAGAAGCGGTTTCTATTCCCAAGCCAACACTGAGAGAGGTTCAGGAAGAAGAAAATATTTTGGGGAGAGATATGCATTATTAATAAAGTATTTATAGAGCACCCACTATGTGCCCTGCACTAGCACTGACAGCTCAGGTCCACTGACCTAAGTGGCTGCACTATCTTGAATATGTGTTCTCATAAAGATGAAAATACAGGAAAAGTCAATGTTTCTTATCCAAGCTGAAGTGTAGAACTATTAGCTCTATACTCACAGAAGAACATTCACTATTCCACTCCAGGTACATGGAACTTACAACTATTAATAGCTTTCAGAGATTTAATCTGTAAGAATAGGTACATTTACCCACAACACAAGTTTCACAAGAATTTTTTAAAATGAAACATACTCACCCAAGGCAGGGTATCCAAGGTAAAATCGATCTGCTCCCAACCATCCAAGAAAAAGAGACAGTGCAACAGCCACTTTATATGAATAGCCATTTCTGCACAAAATTAGAACCTGAGTGTGACCTTTATATATTTCGAACATGTAACATTTTAGAAAACAAAACTGCTACTTATTGTTTATTTGCTAATTGGTTCATTCATCCATTCATTCATTCATTTAATGTGTTTTGGGTAGCTACTGCATGCCATGCACTATTTTAGGCTATTGGAATATTTTAGTGAACAAAAGAGACAAAGATCCCAGCCCCTAAAGAGCTTACAATCTAGTGGCAGCAAGCAATAAACATATTTTAAAAGTAAATCATATATTATATTAAGAAGGCCATACATGCTATGAAAAAAGATTGCTAGGGAAACAAACAGGAGCCATTTAAATAGAATGATTAGAGGGCTCACTGAGAAGGTAGCATCTGAGCAAAGACCTTAGGGAGGTGAGTCAGCCATGTCATGCCTCTGAGGGAAGTGTCCCAGACAAAACAACTGCTGTTACAAAGGCAGTACACCTGACATGTTTGAGGTCTATTAAGGAGGCCAGTGTAGCAGGAATGGACTAAGAGAAGGAAGAACAGTAGAAAACAAAGTCAGAGGGGGAATAGGGGGCAAAGAGGGCAGCTAACTGCAAGGCCTTGAATACCGTTATAAAGACTCTGCCTTTTCTCTCAGAGATAATGGAAAAGTACTGCAGGATTTCTTTTCTTCTTCTTCTTTTTTTTATTGAACTTATTGGGGTGACATTGGTTAGTAAACTGAAAAATTTTAAATATGATCTAATTTAGATTTTAAAATAATCACTCTAGCTGCTATGCTGAAAATAGACTGCAGGGGAGTATTTGTCACAATAGCGCTGTATTACAAACCACCCCAAAACTCAGTGGCTTACAGTAATAAGCAATTATTCTCATCTTTGTAGGTTACAGTTGGCTGTGGTTCAGCTAGTCCAGGTTGGGTACAGCTGGAAGATGCTGCTTCAGGCTGAAGTTTGGCTGAGTTTGAATCTAGGCTATGGATTTAGTTCAAATCAGTTCCACTTAAGTGTTTCTTGGGCCCAGGGTGAAGGTGCAGCATTTACTTGAGGCAAGTTCTTTTCAGGACATATCACCAAGGTACAAGAGGAAAGCTAAACTTTACCAGCGCATTTTAGCCTCTGCTCGTTTCATACCTGCTAACATTACACAGACTAAATGAAATCACATACATGGTCAAGTCCTAAATCACTGGAATGGAAAGTATACACTGCCCAGTTAAGAGGGACTGAGATGGATGAATTTGATGAACAAATTCAAACTCCATAGGGACAAATAAGTTTGAAGGCTATTATAGTTACCCATGTGAGAATTAACAGTGTCTTGACCTGGAGTAATAGCAAAGGAAATAGTGAGAAGTGACCAGATTCTGGACATGTTCTGAAGCACAGCCAACTGGATTTTCTGATGTTTTCAATTTAAGGTATGAAAAAAAAAGTAAAGATAATGCTAAGAATTTTATCCTGAGTAACTAGGATGAAGCTAGCATTAACTAAATTGAGGAAGGCTGCGGATGGACTAGATCGTGTAAGGACGATCAAGATTTCAGTTTTGGACATGTGAGTTTGAGATATTTATCAGACATCCAAATAGAGTTGTCCAAAAAACAGCTGGATTTACAAGTCTGTAGTTGGGAGAGAAGTCTGTGCTGGAGCTATGAATCAGGGAGTTACAAGTATATAAGAAGTATTTAAAGCCATGAAATTGCCATGTGAGTACAGATAGATAAAAGAAGAGATTCACAGACAGAGCCATGAGATACTCTAACATTAAGAGCTCACAGAAAAGGAGAAAGCAGAAGGAGAATGAAAAGGAGCTAACAGTGAGGAAGAAGTATAGCTAGTAGGGTACGGTGTCTTGGAAGTCAAATGAAGGCAGTGTTTTGAGGAAAACAGAGTGATCAACTGTGACATTGTGAGTGATGGATCACATAAGATAATGGGGAAGGGGGGAATTTACCACTAAATTTAACCAAGAGATCATTCATGACCTCAGCAAGAGCAATTTTGATGACATAAATGAGGACAAAAGACATAATAGAGCAGGCGTACAAAAGATTGGAAGGAAAAAATTAAAGAAAAGTATTAGAAAACTCCTTTGAGGAGCTTTGCTGGAAAGGGGAGTAAAGAAATGAGAGGTAGCTGGAGTTATCATTTTAAAGTCAAATCTGATCATGCCAGTCTCCTGCTTACAATCCTGTTTTTTTCCATTATACTCACAATTAGGACATTTTCATGGAGTTGGGGAGATGTCAAACGGCCTAGAGATCCTGTTTATGCATCTAATATTATAAGGGTGTCAAATTTTATGCTGATGGCAGTGGTACCCCATCTACACTGGAATGGGGCACCAAACTAGAAGTAGAGAAATAAATTAGGAGGCTTTGTAGACACTCAAGCTATAACCTACTGGATAGTAGCAGTGGAAGAGAAAAGTGTACAAAATTGGGAAACATTAAGAAGGAAGAAACAATCAAATAAATGTGGGGCATGAGGGGAAAGGAGAAGCAGAGAATAACTCCCAAGTTTCTGCCTAAGAAACTGGGTAGCACAGGTGCCATTCACTAAAACAAAAGAGGAAATGAAGGAAAACATGACCGATTCCATTTAGGACCTTAATATATAAATAAAAAACAGAAAAGGACAATGAATATAATTTGGGGGATATCAGGATTTAAGAAAGGAAGGAATAAAAGGAAACAAAAAAGTGTTTTATATTAGAAGTTCAGAAAAAAAAGTATTTTAAGAGAAGGGAATGCCAAATGCTGTAGAAAGATTAAGATATGGACTAAAATATGCATTTGATATAGCAACAAAGATCAGTGATAAATTTTGGCATGGCCAAAAGCCATACTGCATTATACAGAAACATTTATAAAAGAGAAAAAAGAAACAAGCCTTTAAAAAACCTTGGCTAGGAAGGGAAATGAAATTAGAAAAGCAATTATCTATAAAAATAAATCACCATAAAGAGTAATCTGAAAAACTGGTGGTGTAGTAGAGATTGTCTAATTATTCAACAAACCATTTCTCTTTTTCTCATGGACATACAGCTAAACTACATAATCTAGCCCACCTTGCAGTTAAGTACAGCCATAATTGAGTTTTGTCCAACAAAACTCAATTATGGACAGAAGTGATGTATACCATTTCCAGGTCTGGCCCATAAAACACTCTTACAAGGGGTACCCTTTCCTCTTTCCTATCTGCTAGCTGAATGGAAAGGACTCTAAGGACTAAATGGAGCAACCCTCACTTCCTCACCTTACCGAGACCTCCAAGCCAACACAAATTGGACTACAGCGTGAGTGAGAAATAACTTTTACTGTGTTACACCACTGCAACTCTAAAGATATTTGTTATAGCAGTTAGCCTGCTCCAACTAATATATAATAGGTATGTGGCATGGCAATCAACCAGACATAGTTACTAGACTTCAGCTGCAGGAGAATACATTATATAATGACAATATCTGCAATATTAAGATGGAGTTTTGATCAAGTATCAATATTATATACAGAAAAACATGCAAACTGGAAAAGGGACACTCAAAAGTACAAGGATTTGTCAGCAGCTGACCAGCAGCTGGCTCTTTGATAGGCATGTATTGAATATCTTGATAAAGGAAAATGATATATCAGGTTATCTTAATTTTATGACTTATTAGAATTATCTATCAATCTAACACCCCTTGTTTAGACTCAATATTCATCAAGCAAATTCTATTTTGGACCTGTAGAATTTACTACAGAAGGGGAATAAGTTGGTCAGCAGACTTGGAGTATCTGGTTTCCTTGTTAGTTTTAATTCTTATCATAATTCACATCAGTGTCTTGTGAGCATTAGTGTAGCTTAGCTCAGTCACATTGAGTCTAATCTACCCAAAGACACTGAAAAAAAAATCAGAGTTAATTTGGAAATTAATAACAGATCATTGTGGTGTTATCATTACAGGTAATTTGAGCCTGTAAGGTCTAACCTCAGTGGCTAGCTATTCTCAACAGACAATATTCTTAGCTACTGTATTATAGCCTATATCTTATACCAGTACTTAGTAAGTTGTCATTTAGAATGTTTAGGGTAGAAAAGTCAACCTATAAATTTCAAATTTGACTAAACCATATCTAAATACTTTGGAAATAATTCCTTTTAACAAGTTTTACTTTACTAATGAGAACTCTCGGAACCCAAGAATCCTGAGTGATTGCCGTGGGCTTAGAATCTAAAGCCCCTCATTAATTCAGTGAAATAATTCAGGGTCAAAAAAAAGACTCTACTAGTAATTTCTAACAATTCTAATAGAGCTTATAAAGTCAAACAGTGGTTATTTCTTGATATAACTTCAAATAGGTATCATCAAATAACTGCAACAATGTATAGTTAAAAGGTAAAAATATAGTGCCAGCAATTAATAAAAGTGGGTAAATCTAAATTAGGTATTTAATACAAAGCAGAAATATAAAAATAAAATGTTAGCATTACTTGTAGCAAAATTAAAAGCAAGCTTAGAAGTCCTTTAAACAAAGAATATTCCTAACAAAATAAAGCCATTTGTCTTAATATCCCAAACTAACTTTTGAATTCTGTTTTACATTACCATTCATCATCCATACCTACTACAAAAAATTAAACCAAGTTTCAAAATACCTTTAATATGCAAATGATTTAATAGTTTTTTTTTTTTTTACTACAGGCACACAATCCTTTATTTGAACTCTAGAAATTCCCCAAATTTTGAAAACAGAATTTTTTTCAAAACTCATTTGGAAGCCTAAATGACTGAACTGACATAGCATAAGGCCGTTCTGTCTTTATGTATCCCAAGTAGTGAACTATAGCGCTTTACTTGGTTGGTAAATTGCACTTATAAAACAATAGACACATTTAAAGTAGAGGTTTTCTGATACAAGCAAAAAGTTTTAAGTTAAATTAGTGCAGAATTTTCCCCATAAATCAACTTTTTATCTCTTCATTCCATGCAATCAAGATACAACATAGGTAAGTAATCTGAAAATTCAGCTTCAGTGATGTACTTACACATTTCGGCAAGATACAGGCTTGAGAAAACCAACTTCATTTCCAGTAAAATGTGTTTCATTGCCGCTGAAGTCCTTACAAGTTATGTTGGGTGCTGGGAAACATGGAACTAAAGGCAGAAAAAGGCAAGAAACCATATTTTTTTCCTGTAGAAGAGGTATGTAATTATGTTTTTTTAAGATTAGAAAAGCACACAAGAAAATACAACATATAACAAACCACCTCCCAATATAACATATGACATGAGATTTTAATTTAGATAGGATTATAGATAGAAAGACAGACAGACAGACACACATTCATGCACAAAATAAAGAAAATATGATTTGGTGATCTCAACACAAAAATTAAGAATTGCCACAGGGGGTCAGATGCATGACCCACCTAGTTCAATCTCCTGCTTCTGACAAAGAAGACAAGGGAAGAAATGCACAATATTACTGTCCTTACTTCATCTCTAGGATAAAAAATACTTCTAGAATTTTTCTTGGTAACTCATTGGACAATTGGGTAATTCATTAAGTTTAATATAACCTGATTTTACATTTTGAATTTATATCAATTCTTGTAGATGATGCCTGCCATAAACTAAGATTCTTATTTATTCTAAATAGACTTTTATTGCTCTAAATGTATTTGTTTCTGTATTCTCTCTAGCATTTATGTAGTATATGAATTAAGAATTTAGCAATTTTTATCTTTACTCCCAAATGACATAATAGTAAGAGGAGTAACACAGAGCTTCCACAGGCACTGTCCTGCAGCCTTTATAATCTCATGGAGTAAGAGCAAGAACTCTGTAATGAAAATGACCTGTCTGAACATTGCCTCTTTCAGAACCTTGGATTCCTTATAGATAAAAACAGCACTAAAACCACCTATGTCACAAGATCACTGAGGGGATTAAATGTGATATAAATTACCTAGCACAAGGCACAGCTTATAGTAAGTATTCAATCAATGTTAGTGCCTTTTCCTCCTTCACCATTTCTGACTTAAAGGTACTAATGTTTTTTAGGCTAGTTTCAGTAAATACTCATCTTTATGTTTAGTATCAATAATATTTTTTGAGAAGATAAAAATATAACTTCTTATAATAATCTAAAAAAACAGAGACCCCAGAATTTTATTATGAAAGGAAAATGGTACTTGTCTACTTCATAATTATCTTCTTGAGATTTTCAACAAATCATTGTCCTATTTTAGGCTAGAGGAGTACACTGAGAAAATGATGCCAGAAAAAAACCCTATAATGACCTTGTACCCTTTTGTTGGGTATATAGTTAGACTATATCAATCCATTATTGTTCAAATGTCCATTTGCTCCATAAATGTTATTGATTACATTTATATTTCCAAAACGAGTGTGTATACTGAAAAAGCACAGATTCAGTAACAACTGAAAACCATTTATTTAAGGTGGGGGAGGGCGGTAAAATGAAGGGAAGAGGGAGAGAGAATAAATAAATAAATAATTATACTAGGAAACGACTCAGGGAAGATACTGTAATTGAGTCACAAATTTAGCTCTGAACTTCCTGGTAGTTAAGGCAAAAAGCTTTGCATAGCTACTGTGATATAACTGGAAGAGATCAAACCAATTCACCTCTAAACAACGGAAGGAAGTGGGTTCTGTTCAAGATACAAGGGAAACAAGGTATTATAGAAGGACCTCAATAAGAACTTTTACAAAACAATAAAGGTTTTTCACATGGCCATTTCTTACAGACTCCATATATAAGCAAGGGCTTATAATGTTAAGCACTACAGAGATGGGACAGAAGTTAATTCTATTTATGTGCAACTGTTGGGCTGCCTTTGATATAGGGATAAAATATACTGACGTTTTACTTTTAAGATGTGTTTATTGATTTCAGAGAGAGAGAAACATCTATGTGAGATAAAAACATTCACCAGTTGCCTTCCATAGGCCTCTGACCAGGGAATCAAACCTGCAACTTGTGCTCTGACTGGAAATCAAACCCATGATCTTTCAGTGTATGGGACAACACTCCAACCAACTGAGCCACACTGGCCAGGAGATTTTACTGACCCTTTAAAGTGAATTATCATTCCCCTTAGGTTTTATCTGTTGAAATCTGCCATCTTAGGTCACAGTTTTGACTAAAGCTATATAGTAAGTAACTCAAAATTGGTATTAGTAAATGCCTGAAATGCTAGTATACATACATTCTATATTACTGACTGAAAGGAAACCAGTATGCTCTATTTCAATGACTGGGGCCACTTCTGCTCTCCAGGGGACATGTGTCAATGTCTGGAGACATTTTTGGTTGCCACAACTGGGGAGCTGCTACTAACATCTGGGTAGAGGCCAGGGATGCTCCTAAACATACTACAATGCACAGAATAGCCTCCTCACAACAGAAAATGATCTTGTCTAAGATCATTTTGAGAAACCCTGCTCTAGATCAGTGTTCTTATAAGAATTTTTCTCACACACTCCCAAAAATATTTTTTAAAACTAAGTACTCCCTCACATATTTTTAAGTTGACACTTAAAATGTTTAATATACATTTAAATAATTGGAATATAATTTCTAGTATAGCCCAGCCTTGTGGCTCAGTGATTGAGCATTGACCCATGCACCAAGAGGTCACGGGTTCAGTTCCTGGTCAGGGCACATGCCCAGGTTGTGGGCCCAATCCCCAGTGGGGGGCATGCAGGAGGCGGCCAGTTGATGTTCTCTCTCATCAATGTTTCTCTCTCTCTCCTTCTCCCTTCCTCTTTTCTAAAATCAATAAAGAAAAAAATAAATAAAATCAATAAAAACATATTTTTTAAAAAGGAGCCTTTTTTATATAAATAAATAATTTCCAGTATATTGTAAATATTGCCATTATAATTTAACTGTTATAGCACTCTTTAAAATGAAATCTACCTCCTGGGATGGGAGGAGGTGGGGCTCTAAAAAATAAAACTAAATAAATAAAATAAAATAAAATCTAAATACCACAGCAACTTGATAGCCATCTTGATCCAAGAGAGAATCAATATGACAGAGCTCTTCTTTAAAATTCAAAACTTTTACATCAATTTTGAAAAAAACTACTCATGTAAAGCTGAGGATCTGGAAATTTATTCCTTTAAAGACCTCTGGTATGGGGTGAATTGTGTCCTCTCCAAAAGCTACCTGAGAATGTGACCTTACTTGGAAATGGGGTCTTTAAGGATTTAACCAAATTAAGTAGAGGTCATTAGGGTGGGCCCTAATCCATTAGGACTGGTGTCCTTATGAAAAAGGGAAATTGAGCACACACGCAGGGAGGAGTTGATGTGAAGACTTACAGGGAGAATGCAGAGTTTGAACTGATGTAGCTGCAAGCCAGGGAATGCCAAGGATTGCTGGCTACCACCTACAGCTTAGAAAAGGAAAGGAAACGTTCTACCCGGTCTGAGAGTGCATGTGGCCCTGCTGACAACTTGATTTCAGACTCTTAGCCTCCAGAAATAATCTGTTGCTGTAGGCCATCCAGTCTGTAACACTCTTGTTATGATAGCCCTAAGAAACTAATTCAACATCTATACCTGTTTACCTCGTGGAAACCTCTGTCTACCCTCAGGAGTACACGTACTACAGTATGAAGACTGGGTTTAGGCATCGGGTATGTAAGTAAGTAAAAGAGATATCTGGTTTAAAAAGTTAATTTTTTTCTTTTTTGCCTTGATGAGGATCATTCCACCTCTATAAAGAAACGACCTGCAAGAATATCTATAGATAAACAAGTTTTTTCAAATCCTCAAAGTAATAATTTCTGGATCGAAGAACTGTGCCACAAAACAATTCTATTACTAAATTTTGAATAATTTTTCTCTAAATGTATTTATTACCTTGCACTTGCTCAGTTTGAAGCTGTTACTTTCTTGTCCTACAGCCTTGTTAGATCTTCCTGAAAACTATCTAAAATCAGATGTTGCCCAGTTGGTGTGGCTCAGTGGTTGAGCATCAACTCATGTACCAAGAGGTTGCTGGTTTGATTCCCGGTCAGGGCACATGCCCAGGTTGTGGGCCAAATCCCCAGTGCGGGGTATGCAGGAGGCGGCCAATCAAAGTTCTCTCTCTCATCGATGTTTCTCTCTCCCTCTCTCTCTAAAATCAATAAAGAAAAATAATAAATGAAAGAAAGAAAGAGAGAGAGAGAGAGAGGGAGAGAGGGAGAGAGGGAGAGAGGGAGAGAGGGAGTGCAATATAAAACACTATGATTCTAGTTGGGGTTACTGTCCAATACAACTTGCCCAACAGAAATGCATTTTTTTTTTTTTTATATAATAACAGGCTCCTATACAAAATTTTAAAAGATCAAATGTTTACTGAAGTATAAACATGCATTATAAAAATATTAAAAACTAAGAAATCATACCCTTTTTATTTTCAAATTAGATACTATTATTAAAACTTTCATATTTTGACAATTTTAGTTTTGATGATATATTTTAGCATTTTAACTACAAGATATTATTTGTATTCAATGAGCTGCTTTGTATTCAACATGAAATGATGAAAGAGAAAAAATGCTCAAGGCTCTAGCCTTAGAACCTCAAGAAAGATACAAATAATAGAAAGAGGTGTCAGAGTGAAGGGGAAACCACAATGATACAATGATTCCAGAGAAGCTTGACAGAGGTATGAGCTAACTATTTCAAGGGATGAAAATTATATACTTTAGAGAGGAAGGATGAGCTGCTACTCCAAATATATAGAGAGATGACATGAAAAAAAAAAAAAAATTCAAAAAACACCAAGACTGATCAGATGTGTTTGAATCGAGAGAACTGCAAAGAGCAGAACTTTAGAACTGGACAAATCTAGGTTTAAGTCCAAACTTTGTCACTAACTAGTATGGATGCTTCTCTGAGCAAGTTACAAAACCTCTCAACTTTGTTTTGTAATTTGTAAAATAGGGATAATACCCTCGTAATGCTACTATATATGTATTAAAAGCATATGGCATGTAAAGCATGGTTCTTAGGAAAGTGTTCAACAAGTGTTGGGCTCTTAACTCTAGGAAATTAGAGAACTTCAACATTGAGAACGCTAAGAGAATGAACCTGAAATGAGAAATAAATCTAACACTGAGTGGCTATAA